CCTTTTTGCAGTTACACAGATCATTCAAAAGGGACAGTTACAGCTATTCTTCCTGCAGATAGCATTTTGAATCTTGTGGTTATCCAGCCATATAATGACTGTAATAGCTAGCGCATTCAGCCTGCTGTAATTGCACTGGAGTTTTATTTACTTTTCTTGGTGACCTGGGTTTGCTGCTTATTTTGTTGGGTGTGTAATTGTGCCCCTGAGGAGATAAGGAGACAGGACATGCACATCATGATAGAAAGAAAATAATGTTCCTACCACTTTTGATCTTAAACTAGGTGAAATAAAAAAAGAGATATTAACATCTTCTTTTTAACACATGTGTATATCCTGCAGCATTCCCGCCAATAAATGTTGCTGACATCAGATGTGCTTCTTGAGCATTTGGTTTATGTTCTCCTTCTGTTAACAGGCTCCTAGCAAACATTTCATGCTTTTGAGCCTGATGCTTTATAAACTTTTCCTAGCTGGGAATTAAACACAGAATTATGAATCTCCATCCAGAAAAGAAAGGGAGCCTGCTTCTCACCTCCTAGCCTCACATGCACACTTTCTGGAGTCCCATGCAAGCTACCATCAGAGTAAAAGGAGCAGCTCATTTATTTCCTCCTATGGACATCTTATGGGACTGGGTGGAGGAACAGCAGAAACAGCTACCCCAACCAACTCACCAATAGCAATTGGGTCAGTAAGGTGTGGGATGGGAATTTGCCACAGGTAAAGGTAAAATACCAAGACTTATTTATCCTCCAGTCCTTTCAGAAGATGTCTGTGAGTTATACAGTTTCCTAGGCAATTCCAGGGGCAGCTTTACCCATGCTTGTTCATGTGCCTTGAAGTTTGAACTCAGTTATGTTTTTATTAATGTAGTATTATCTGATGGGCAGAAACCTGGATTGGAAAATGCTGTCCTATGTGGGAAGTGTGTCCACACAGCAGTTAGCCTGTATTTAAATTGCAGTCATGCAGGATCAGGCTTTACAGCGCTAGGAGCTGCAAAGCAGGAGGCAAGTCCCGGCCTCTGTCCCGAGCAGCTTTCAAACTAGTGGAAGTAGAGTAATAAATGCATACTGGAAAGAGAATTGGCATACACTGGAGTTACAAAATATATTTTGTTTCAAGCAACACCTCAGATGATGGATCTATCTGTAGCATAGTATTTTCATTTCAAAGAATTCATGACTTACAGCCTTTTTCTGGCTGTTTTAAGAAAAAATAGCTTGGCAATAAAGGACAATTGGGAAATTTGAAGATATAATTTGGAACACACTCAACTGAATTTTTAACAGCATCTTCAAGCTGTTTATGTTTTTAAGGAGTAATTAAATTATTTGAACTAAGTCACTGTAACTTCAACTATCTAACTATCTCAGGACATTAATTTTCAGCAGTAGAGTAAGTTATACAGTCCTTGCTCTCAGTTAAAATGTTAATGTTTATCTTGAATTATTACACAGTTGTGCTAGTTCTAAAGACATTTCCTTTCTTCAGGGTAAGGGAGAATGTCTCCAAACATGCTGACAGGTAGATGTTTACAAGTGCTGATGATTTCAGGTTTTATGGTGACCTTTCAGAGTTGTTCCCGCATTTGCTGTAGACTAATTGCTTACCATTTCTCATTGTTTTCACCGGGGAGTACGTGTTTTGTATCTATCCAGATCTATGTTATTGCTGTTGCTTTGCTCACTCAGTTATTCCGTATCTCAGCTGCTCATTTAGTGCAAACTTTCTGTGTCTTGTATGATGGAAACAAAGATGTGGTATTTCCCCATGTCTGCAAATTATTGTGAGCTTATTAGATGGCAAGTGCTTTATATAAGGAAAAACACATTAGCTGCTCTTCTAAATGCCAAGGATTCTTTTGATAGGGCTATCAGATTATCAGAGCCTCACGCTAACATCCTGTCTTCTGCCAACTTCCTGGGACACCTCAGCAACTCACTTAGTCTCTTTATATATATAAAATTTTTTCCCCCTTCTATGCAAAACAAAAATACAGCATTTATATATTTCACAGAATGGTTGTGAAAACAAATGCACTGAAGACTGGAGTGGTCAATAATGTTAACATGGATTTCAGAGCCACAGAAAATGCTTTTAAGCAAGTTATTCTTTAAAAAGTTGTGATTTGTTTCTTGTGGGAATCATGGCAGAAGTAGAGTTTTTAGAACAATTTGAACCAGAACTTTTTAAAGAGCAGATAGGGTCTCTGAAACCTGAGACATGGCAACTCTAAGCAGAGAAATGGCATAGGAAAGAGGTGGTCAATTAGGATGTTACAGCTAGTGTCATTAGTGGATGGTGTATAGATTTTTTTTTTTTAATCTTGTATGCTCACGTAGTGTTGATTTATTAAGTGGATGTACAATTTTGTCACCTCAAAGGGTATTTTATATCTAATCTTATAAACGAAAGGATTTGGAAACCTAATTAATACCTGCATCGATGACTTCAGAGGGAAGCTTTCATGTTACAGGAAGGATTTGGTGAATCACCAGATGGTGCCATTCTGTGTCAGGCAGTGTGGAATAACTGCCCAAATGCAACATGAGACTTTCCTGCAGGACGAGTCCTGGAACAAAGGTTTATTCTGTATGGATTAATCTTCTTGGTTGTTTTTGTTGTTGAGAGTAAAGTATCCATATTTTGACCAGTACTCTGGCCTAGATTCATTGCGGGTTTTTTTGTCTTTGTTTAAAGTGGGCATCATATGTTGTATTTCTTGTTTTGAATTGAAGCATGTAACAAAACATCCGTTTATAAAATAAAAGTGGCAATCTCTGTCAACAGTCATCTGATAGTGACTAAAGCAGCCCAATATAACATTGGTTGGGATAAAAAAAATTATTATTATGTGATTACTACTTCAATGCTATAAGCATGAAAAAGTTACTAGAATAATTTGCTGTAGAATTACAGTGAGTGGCTATTAAATATTAATAAATAGAAAGCACATACTGCATACTAACTTCATATGAAACATTGAATTAAAGCCATTTGCCACTTAAAAAATAGTATTTTAAAAATGAGATTTTTTTCAAAGT